GAGGGGTGCAGCGATTCTCCGCGGCGGTAAACATGGAGGCGGCGTGCAAAGCCGACGGCGGGGAGCAGAGTCACCGAGGCAGCGGCATGGACGGCGCTTCTATGGACTGCTACTTGCGATCTCAGGGCTTGTACAGAAAGAGGGTTGCCAAGGATGGATCTTGTCTTTTCAGGGCTGTGGCCGAGCAGGTAACTGCTTACATAAACAAAGCTACTTCGCATGAAAGCATGGGAAGTGGATCTCATTAGCAGGTGATAATTAGTGTTAAAATGCAGACGAGTACAAGTTGAGGTTACACAGTCGTGTGCCAAGGGAAGAAAAAAAAAAAAAAGGTTTCTATCTTGCGGGGTGAGAGAAGTTCTGTGTGTACAGTCTCCTTCTGTCATCAAGCAATTGTTACCTGTTTTGACCTTCCACTGCCTCCTGAGAGCTTTTTTCAATGTAAGATTTCAACATGTGGGTACAACTGCTTTGTATGAAACTATTTAGGAAATGGAGTTTAGTGGAAAGAGCTGAAAAGCCTTGTTCTGAGTTTTGTTAATTGGTTTACTATAAAATTAGAGAATTTATTCTCAGTTCTTCCTGTTGAATTCCCCTCCCCCATTTTAGTACTACTGTTAAAGGAAAAAAGTGACAGCGTCATCTTGTCTTAAATACAAACAAACAGTAGTGGGAGCTCTGGTGCTTCTGATTGTGGGAGCCCAGATTCCTGTGCTAATTATACACGTTCACTTTTTTTTGTTTTTTTTTTTCCCCAAATTACTTTCCCCACTGAATTTACAAGTTGAGGCAAGGAAACGTTATTGATCTGAAGTGAGTCATCTTTTTATTTCAGGGGAATAATCAATGAATATACATTGACACTCTGATGTTTATTAATTAATATATATAGAAGGTTTCTCCCACACACCAGTGTATATAGAACTTTTTCAACTATTAATCAAATTTTTAACATCCCATTCTTATTTTATGAAAGGGAAGGTCTTTAATTCAAAGTTAGTAGATGTTTATCCACAAATTTGGCCTAATCTCTGTATTCTTCATGCAGAAGAACTGAACTGATCTGAATTTGCAAGTGTTTTGAGGGTAGCGTGTAAGTATTGCAAGAGAGGGTGCAACTTAAATTGACTGGAACTTCCCTACGTTGTAGTGAGGATGCAGACAAAGTCACGTTAGAGATAACTCTGAACCTATGATGAAAGTAATATTTTTCCAGCAGAGATTTGAACAGGAGGTAGAATGCATGTGTCATACGGGGATCTGAATTCCTGGCTTCCAAATCAGTATTTGGGCAACAGACCTACACCTCTTAAAGTCAAGAGAAAGTAACCCTGCAGTCTCTTAGGTTTGGCTGGATTTCATTGGAATGAGTGCATGTTGGTAGTTGATTTCCTCATCCACTCCTGCGGTAACGTAAAGGTCTTCAATTAATTAACTCCTTTACAAAGGAGCTGGTTAAAGAATGACAACAAATGCTATTCCTTTGCTCAATAATTCCTTCTAAAATTGAATGTTTGAATTTAGTAAATCTATGAATTCTGCAGTTACTTAATTTTTGATTAAATAATTGAGGTTTCACCTGCATAAAGATGTTGTTACTGAATGAATGTGCATTTTAAATATTCTTAAAAATAAAACTAGAGTATTTCCAAGCCTGTATGACAACAGCATTAATTATTTGTGACCCATCATCAAAACTCCGCAGAACCAGTATCACTTTTTTCTGTTTCTCCCTTTGTAGGTGTTACACTCTCAGTCTCGGCATATTGATGTTAGGATGGCTTGTGTAGACTATCTTCGGAAAAATAGGGAGAAATTTGAAGCAGTAAGTATTTCTGTTTTCTTTGTGAGCATTTAAAAAAATGTTGCTTTATTCCTTCCACTTTTCTAAGGTATATTCTGCTGTTTGTGACAGTATTCATCATACCTATATACTAGCTGATGCTTTTTAAAGAGAGTGCTCTTTAAATTAATTGGCATATGTGTGGTGGTAACTCATTTTCATAAGCCTGGAGAAAGACCTGTATACTGGAGGGGTGTGGGGTGGGAATAGTTTTTAGTGCTCATTCAAGTTTAAGAAGGTTTGTTTTGTTTTTTAATAGTCTGTAGTGGAGCTACCAAAATCTGGATTTTATTGTAGTATAATGCCAATTTTAATAAAGGTCATAAAATGTTCTTATTGTGCTATTTAATTGCTTTTACAATATATAAGGGATTTGACTGACGAGATTAGTGAAATTTGTTTCAGGGTCTACCATTTATTATGCGTTTCCACTGTGTTTTCTTTTTTTTTCTAAACATCTGTAACGAAGTTCGCCATCAACCATGAACATAAAAGATTTTGATATTGATCTGTATTTGGCCAATGTCGTCAGTGTTAACATTATAAAATCCTTTTTTTCCTTCCTTTTAAAAGAACAGTAATAAATAATGGCACTCCTGTTTGTGTTTGTATATGCTCTAGTGTATACACCATTTAAATAATTTCTAGGATAGCCAAAACAATAGTATGTGTAAGCATCTGTTACTAGAGGATTATTACTCAGCTCTCTTTTTCTGTTCTAAATTTACCTGGACCCAAAATAAAAAGGCTGTTTTAGATGCACATTGGCATAGGGAAGAGAAGGAAAGCAGGAAGAAGAGTGTATTCGCTCTAATTTCTGGCAAAGTGCCCTGTGCTCGAATGTGACTGATCACTGTTAATGTGGAAGTTGTGAAGAATGGATGACATAAAATACAGTGAATTCTCCCAGAGAGATGCATCTCTGACTTGGCTATTTCCATTTGCCAGGACTGTTTGTTTCCAGTCCATCTGAGGACTTATCAACTCTTAGATCTCTCTCCCTTCTTTTTAGTTTTATTTTTTCACTGCTGGCTTTTTAATCCCTTTCTTTCCAGAAATACCCCACTCACTCCAATATCTTCTTGTTTACTTCTGTTTTCTTGTTGTATTGCATAGTTTTTGGAAATACCATGACCCTTCTTGACTCTCAATGTGTGGTGTTTCTCCTCCCCAGTTCAGTTCTCAGCCAGGTAACTGCTTTGTCAGCCCTAGCTGGTTTTATCTTGGTGTCTCTCTCTTCCAAACTCCCAGTCTCATGGTTCTTTTTTTCCTCAGATTTGATCCAAGCGATATGACCTCTCCTTTATCCATCTTTGCCGTCCTTATGAAAAGTCTCTTATTTAAAAGTTTCTTGTAATTTTTCAGAATAGGTGTTTTCATGTACAAGGTTGAGGTGTTTCACATCTGCTCGCATTTCCTAGTGTTCCTACTCCCTCAGGTACCTCACTTCAGCTCTGCTGATCTCCTTTGCTCTCCATCTCTCTTACGTTAACAATGCTATATTCCAGATGGAAAACACCAAGTATAGTATCTCTCTTAAAAAAACCAACCAAACAAATAACAAATGCCTCTTTCCATAATCTCTTTGTTCAGCTCATCTGCCTTCTTGGTAGTTATGCTCCGTTGACGTGTACTGGTTGTACTCATTGAAGTTCCTCTTCTCTCTGTCTGTTGTAACCATTTCAGCTTGGATTTCTGTCTCTCTCGTTCTGTTGATACTGCTGTAACCAAAGCTTCAGGTGACTGTGTGTAACCACCATCTTCATCTTCATCCTCATCCTTTCTTGAAGTGTTATCTTTGATTGCTGCTGTCTTATATTAATTCTCTTTTTTTAACTCTTCAGTTTCCTGTTAGAACCTTCTGGTGGCCTTCCTTTCTTCCTCTTTGCATTATCTTTAGGTTATTTAGTTTTGACACACAAAACAACTACTGTCTGATCCTGTTTTACTGATCCATGTTTTAACTTCATACCTGATTGCTTCTGTCTAAATTAAAAATTTTGGCTGGAATTTTTGATTCTTGTCATGAACAACACTGTCCAGCCAGGTTCAAAACGGCTAAAGCAGAACTTTTAATCTTACTACTCTGCTCAGTTTTCCTTATTACCTTGTTTCTTAATCACTATGGGTAAAGAGGCCATCCAGCTTGTAGCTTAAGTTCATAATGGGAATCACTTCTTTCTTTGGACTTCTGTGGGTCTTTAATTAAATCAAGCAGATTGCGTCTAAATAGTATTTTTTAAATACAGCCTCTCTGTTGGGCAGCATGGTTGAAACACTTTGAAGTTAACATGTCTCAATTACTGCAGCATCTTTCCCTGGCCTTGACAAATGTGAATTTGGCCTCTTCATGCATGTTAAGGAGTGCAGCTGGGGGATTACTTTCTTAGCCTGGCACTTAGTGTAGCCCAATTGTTTGCATCCTTTCGGTGAAAGTAAAAGCAGTTTGTCTGAAGTGATACGGAAAAAAGGAAAAAGTGCTTTATGATTTGGCTATACTATATCTTATTGCTACTTGGGTACTACAGAAATGTGACTCCCATTTCTGATTATCCATTGCTGCCTGTTTCTTTTAACAAGGTACTTGAATAAGCCCACACATGCTCTCTCCAGTGATGCCGTGCACACCTAAGATGAATTGCCCATAAACATCTACTTGGCAGCATCTTTGCTTTCTTTCAGATTTCCTGTTTGGTTGCTGGATTTCTTTTTGGTTTTTTTTTTTGTTTGTTTGTTTTGTTTTGGATGGTGTGATGACTCCAAAAGCTGTTTATGTGGTTATTTTCTGGAATGCAGATCTGTATGTTTGACCATTTATTCCTTCATCTCTACATCACTTTATACTTACATTGTAAGCTCTTTGAGGGCAAGATAGCGTTAAATTTCCAATGGTACGTTCCCACTGGTACAGTGGGTTATAGACTGGGGATTCCATATGTTATATGAATAAAAATAACTCATTATTACTTTTTTTTTTTAAATACAGTTCATAGAGGGGCCATTTGAAGAGTATTTAAAATGTTTGGAAAATCCGCAGGTATGTTAAACTTGATTTATACTAGAAAGCAGTACTTTTGTTGAAGTTCATGGGTAATTGGATTTTTTTTTTTTCCTCACGCATGTTTTTGACTGAGCTTAAGAGGTCTTTGGATTATGTGAATATATGCTTTTATGGTGTACTCTCTGTTGTAAAATGATCTGGGGAGGGTTTTTTTGTGTCTTGATTTTAAACCTGTTACTCTTCAGAATTGTATTCAAACATTTCTAGCCTCTGCAAATGCCAAGAAACATAGCGTGGCTAGCTTTTTCTTGAAGACAGCCTTGAATAAAGGCCTAAAAGTTTAGGTACTTATGTAAGGGATATTATGAACAGTAGCCACAAGCTCTTACAAAGATACTGATTTGAAGCAAAATTACTATTATTTTTTTCGCCCTACTTTAATTTTAGTTTTTTTATTAGGGAGTTAACAGTTCTTGTAAGCTGGGGGAGGGGACAGAGGACTATCCAGTACAACAGTGCAAAAGCTGTTAATTTTTTTTAAGTGCTTGTACATAAATGTTATTAAATTTTCCCCTCCTAGAAATCAAAGCATGATTTTTTTTTTTTGTTTCTTTCTTTTCTCCCCTGCCATGCCTACAGCATCCCTAGTTAGAATGGCTAACCAGATGGTTCTTTATTTCAGTTTCCAAAATGAATGGTGGAAGGAGGAAAAAAGTGGGTGTTAGCCTATTCTGCTTCTGTCTTGCTTTGTTTCTTCCAGGATATTTAATCACAAAGCTTTGTTAGTCAAATACTAAGGTTATATGCTATGCTAAATGGTAAACCATGCTGTTTTCCAGTAGAACTTAGAGTGCACTGAACTACGCCAGTGTGAATGGTTTACAGCACTGCACTGTGTGTATAGAAAATGTCTTTTTTGAACATGTCTACTAATGTTTAAAAAAATCTTTTTGAAAAATAAAGCATACAGTAGCTTTTTTATATGATCAGAGAAACTAATATTAAGTTATTCTATATTTGAAAATTATCATGAGAATTTAAAAAATTATTAAAAAAGTCAAACTGCTACAAATCCCTGCCCCAAAATTAATTTTAGTAATTTTTAATTGAGTAAGAATTTTAAAAAGAAAAAAAAAATTTTTTTTTAAAAAGAGAATCTAGTCACATCATATTGGAACACAGTACAGCGATTAGGCTGGTAATGGAAGAAACAACTTTTACTTTTCTATGACTTGAGTCTGGGTTATGGTGTTACTGACATTTTGCTGTTTATCAGCTTTAAAGGGCAGACCTTTGGTTTTTCTTCAACTATAGGTATACAGCTGCTTGTATGAGAAATGCAGTTAACTATCAGAAGTTTATTTTGGCTGTTTGGAAGTAGTCTGTCTACTTTGTGTTGGAGCACTTCACCAAACCATGTCAAGATACTTGTATGGAAGTTATCTGTGTTTTACACATGAGTGTTAAGCCTCAAGGTGCTCTCCGGTTTATCTGTAGCTAAAGGCCCACAAAACCAGACAGTTTTGAAGGTAGAAAGTAACATTTTTAAATGCACTTAATAAATCTGACACTCACTTGTTTTTCAAAAATTATTTTTGAAAAGCTAGACTGCTGATTGTTTAAGTTTAACAAAAGAAAAAAATAAACCCACTATCACCTTCCAAAATCATACTCTCTAATGATAGATCTGCATTTATGTGATTGTTTTTAGTTCTCTCAGTTTTCATGCAGATCAGTTTCTACTTTGGGAAAAAATCCCTCTAGCTTGTACCCCTTAACCTAACTGCAATAGCTACTGTTATTTCCAAAAACCTTTAAATACAATCAAAGTGTGTCTGCTGAACTCCAGACTCAGTGGTGGTGTTTTTTGTGGTTTTTTTTTTTTTTTTTTGACAATGATTTCTTGTTTCTCTTGATCTGCACGTGAGGAAGTGTGTGTCTGCTTGAACATAATTTTCTTTTTTTTTTTTTTTCAATACAGGAATGGGTTGGACAAGTAGAAATAAGTGCCCTTTCTCTTATGTACAAGTAAGAAAACCTTCAAATATGTTTTATTGAGATCAGTTGGGTTGTTTTGTTAGTTAATCAGTTGGAATAGCAAAGATGGAATTTTATGTTATACCATAGTTCTCCAGAAAATTACAAATATGCTTTGAAAATAGCAGCTGTCAAGGTATTAAAAAAAAAAAAAATAGAAAAGTGAGCTTTGACAATGACATTTAATCTGGGATTTGAATACCGGTTTGCAATAATGTCACGTGTCTCACTTGCACAAGTAATTTTGGGTAGAGTTGTACAGTTTGTCTTTTGTTAATTTTCATATCTCTCTGTTAAAATTGCTTTTCTTCCTATTTCTCACCAAGGCTTTAATATTAAACCCTTTGCTAAGCTGTGGGTTGTACCCATTTCTTTATTACCTCTGTACAAATGCTCTGATGTAGCTTAGTGATACGAGTATTGTAGGCTGTATGCTAGAAAGCCCTTCTCACAACTCCCCTGGTATGAAGTTGTACGTGCTGGTGTAAGACTACCTGGTGTAGTGCTGTAGCTTATTCTCTTTTCTTTATAAATTTTCCTTTTTCCACTCTATCAGTATAGATGAAATAGTATGAGTTTGTTAAGGGCCATAGCTTGAGCTATGCTTAAGAAATGTTTCAGTACTTGTGCATGGACAAACACTCCTCTTGGTGATGAACACTTTTGCTGATGTGTTTTTATTAAATATAATACTATATATTAATCTTTCATCACAAAGTAGTATGAAACAATATGCTGAATATTTATAACTGCTTTCTAATTACTGTGTAAGGGAATGAGCAATGTACAGCATCTTCTCTTTCTGCTGTTTGTAAACCAGTTAAAAAATTCAGTATTTCAAAATGCTTGCTGTAAATTAATGACTTTCTTTGTACTTTGACTCTTGATGACACAGTTGATAAGAGGAAAGAAACAAACTAGTTACATTACTTTCAGGTACTTAGATGAGCGCTAAGCGTGGGAAATTGCATGACATTCTATCTTTGCATTTTATGTGGTTAATGGGACAGTTTAGAGTTGCATGTGCTGTATGGGTGGAAGAGGACTGAACTGAGCCTGACACTCTGAAAGTCAGAGTAAGGTTTGGCTCAAGACTTAGGGAGAAGGTGTGGTGGTTAGATTGAGCCAGGGTGTAGAGGGACATAACTCATTTTAAGTCAACAAAATTGCATTCTTGATTGGAACTGGATGGTCGTGATCTTCTGTTTGTTGTATTTCTGGCCATGAGAAACGTATTCTTATTAAATAGAAGCAGTTTATTTTGAAGTCATGATACATTGGTATCCAGGACCACAGCTGATAAACGAATACAGAGACAAATACTGGTTGATAGTAGTATTTTTTTTAATTTCCATTGGAAGCATGAGGAGGCTTGTGGCATAGTTGCAACTCTATGTAGTATTTCACTGCAGAGTTGAATACGCAACAATTGTTACTGCCGTACTTGTTTTGGGAAGACTGGTGTCCATTAAAAAGGCAATTTAGAGGCTCTGGGAAAGTAGGAATGGTGATGGAGGTTGGGGGAAAGAGTTGCTTCCCTTCCTGCATGCTGGCAGGCTGAAGGAAAGCAGAAGTATGAATTTCCCATTTGTGCCAAGTGGAGAAGTGAGAGAGTTTCAGACTCTTCAAGCATAGGATAGAAATGGAGTGTGGATAGGTTTGTTTTTATTTCCACTCCTCAGATCTGTCACAAGTATAATTTGGTTATCTAGTAAACTTTCCTTGCCTCCCCAAAGCAGGTAGGTCCTTGAGCTATAAAATTATTTTCCTCTCAGAATTGCTTTTTCTGAGTTGTTGTAGAAAGTTGTTTAGTGGGGTGGTTTTTTAATCCAAACACTGCACCTATGAATATACTTAATTACTTTGCGAGACTAAACTTTTGCTTGTGTGAGCAAGGAAAAAGTTGAAGGAAGTGATAGATTGCTGAGCAAAGAATTCAAAGGGAGGATTATGGATAAAAGAGAGAAAAAAATTAAATTTAAGATTACAACAGAGATTGATTATAGCAGAAAAACAAGTAGCAAAGACTGATAGTCTTTCAGTTTTTAGAAAATAAAAACCCAAATAGCATGTCATGTCAGTATCAGTTGTGGATTTTCCTGTGTTTGTCACTTTATATCCAGTTCAACTTTTTATGCTTTGTAATCTAACAAGGTAAAAAAAGAATTAGTGGAGCGTAAATTCTAAATTTGCTTAACTGTAGTAGCTCAACTCTTCATTTATGGTATTTTTAATCCTCTTAAATGTAATGAGTTACTAAAACCTTTGTTTGCAGTGATAAAAAATTTTCTAAACCTGTTTTGAAAAACTGTGCTGGACTGATACTCTTGATGATGAATATCTGCCAATGCTGCAACAGCACACTATCTGCTTGTTTGATCCAAGCTTCCCAAAAAGTTTATTTCTGTTCTCTCAGTTGAAGAGACAACAGGGGGGTTTCTTTGCCACTTTAAATTCAGCAATTGGAGTCTAACAAACAGAAAGTGGTATTTGACTCCACACTTGCTGGAGTCTTTTCCAAAGAGAAAGGGAAACTGAGCCTTCTGAATGTCTTTTTTGCAGTGTGTTATCCATTTTAAAATGCAGGAAAAGATTCTTCTTGCTGCACATGAAAAAAACTGAGCCATGCGGAGGGCATGATTTTCAGAGGAGCAGGAGACTTGGTTACGATATTTGATCCTCAGGCAATGCCTCCTGATGGTGTGTTAGGCTTTCAGTGTGCTCCTCAGCATGCTGTGGCAGCTGGGCCACTGTTTGGGAGCGGAAACATTGCGTGGACCCTTCTGAGCGTGAGAACTTGGTTTGGGAGGCAAGAAGAGTTTCTGAGCACAGACATGGGCTGTTCTGTTAGCTGGCCTCTGTGCCCAAAAGGGTTCTTGCACACATGTAATCAATCTGCTAGTGCAGATTTAGCCTAATCCATTGCTCACCTGCTGGAAATTTATCACTGTTTCCTGTCTTGGTTCATAAAACCAACTGCCTCTCTGTTCTGGTGGGTTTCCAAGTGGCAAAGTGTAATGAATTTCTCCAGGACTGGGGACTCATCGTCCTTCTAGACACAGCTCCAGAAGGTGGTGTCTGGATTCACTTGTTATTGACCCTGCGCATGTTGTGCCAGCACATCTTATTCTAGTATATTCTTTCATGAAAGTAAGCCTTTTTTTGACCAGTGATAGTTGTACTCATCTTCTTCAGTATTCTTTTCCACTAGGTGTTTTTTGTGGTTATGAGTGTTCCTTGAACTTGACTTGAATATTCTAGTTTTTATTGATACTAATTTTTAAATGAATTCTTAACTGCTACTTTTTTTCTCAGGAAAGATTTCATAATATACCGGGAACCAAATGCTTCTCCTTCACATGTAACTGAAAATGGCTTTTCTGATAAGGTAAAAAAAAAAAAGTTATAGCTATTGTGAAAGGCTGAATTAAGACTACTTATATGAAACTATTTGCTGCTTATAAAGTTTCATTATTCAACACAATGAAATGTTCTAAGAATTAGATTTTAACAATTTCTTTTGTACATATTTAAGGCGGCTATTCTGTTAATAGATGTAGCACTTCTTTTTGAATAGATGGTCCATATTTGGGGTGTGATACATCTTAATCTAAAATTCTGTAAAAAATCAATTTACAAGTGCTAACTCACATAGCTACCTCTTTCATAAATTCTTTTTGACTTTAGGTCAAATTCTTTTTGGTTTAAAGGACATCCACTAAACATTTTGATTGTTTTATTGATACCTTGAGATCCTGAGATCTCAAAGCACATTGGTACATTAAATTGAATTTAAAAGGTGGTCCTCATATGAAAAATCAAGTGAGATGCAAAACCTAAAATGTCTGTGTGCTTTTTCTAATAGGTATTGCTATGCTTCTCAAATGGAAACCACTATGATATTGTTTATCCCATAGAGTATTCGGAAACGGCTGCTCTGTGCCAGTGTAAGTATTATGCTGGTTAGTTAAAAGCACATATTTTTACCAAAAATCTTGAAATGATCACCATCAGGTTTCAGGAAAAGGCTCTGTATGAAAGTTTATGATAGTCATTCTTTAGTAGCTTATTTCCATTTGAATTGTCAGTGACCATGATTTTGCGAGAGCGTGAACTGTTACCGCGTCCCGATTCTTGACAAAGTGGATTATATACCAAGAAGAGAAGATTTATCTGCCTCTTTGAATCTGGGTGGTCTAATGTAAACAGAAGATGTTGGTGTACTAAGTTATAATCTGTTGCATTGTCTTTAGTCAGCATTCTAGTTTTAATTTTGTATTTCAGACTATGTTAGCAAACTAATTGTTTATGTTAGTTAAAAGTATCCTTGCATGTGCAACTTGTCACAGAAATCATGGGGGTTGCACGTGTAAAAAATAACTGTCTTCATATATTCTTGTTTTCTTTACTAGATGGCAGAAATGTCCAAGGGTCCTCAGCAGGTTTGATAGGTCACTGTGACACTCCCCACAGGGATTCTCATTCTTCATGAAAACTCTGCCTGTGCGCAGAGTTACAAGGCTAAGGCCAAACTTGCCTCTCAAGAGACCTGATTTCTCGTAGTGTCATGCATACCTGTTAAGCCATAGTAGCTGGAGCTGGTTTTGCTTCTAATGCCTTCACTGTTTCAGTTAACACATCAAAATGCTTGCTTAGTTTGATTGAAGTAATTTGAAATGTATCTGTAATAGTGGTGTAAAATCTCATTTACCTTCTAAGTGATTTTGCCCTTCCACTTTCTCCTCCCCTTCCCCAGCTCTGCTGTATGAGTTGCTGTATGAGAAAGTATTTGATACGGATGTAAAGAAAATCATAGCAGAACTTAGTGCAGTTGGTGTGACAGAGGAAAGTAATGGTAGCAGTGAAGTATCTGCTTCAGATTCAGAAGATGACAACTACAGGTAAATGCAATTTAAAAGTTAATGTAAGATGCTTGTGAGTAATACATGTTAAATAAGTTTTCTGGTGGGTAGTAGACTCTAACAGTTTAGAAACCTTTACAAACTACTAAGAGGAGAAATGCAAAGAGGTAGGGATAGAACTATGAAAGAATGATACATTAGTTTCACTGTACCTAAGGACAGGGTTCTGGTTGCTCTGTCTTTCCTGCAGTCTAGCTTTGGGTCTCTACGTAATGGAATATTGCCATTGCAACATGTCCCTCTTCCTGTTTAAAATAGCGGAATCCCCTGGGAGAATTGTCAGTGTGCCAGTCTGGCATGGTACACTCCATGAGAATTACTTGGCTCACTCTTGCAACTGAGTAGAGTTACAGGAATCTAATCCAAGTTGTGTTGCTTCAACATCTGGGGGCTGAAATGCCTGCTTGAGATGTAGCTAATGAAGAAATACAGATGTAGCTTGCTCCATTTTGTTCCTTGATCTTTATGAAGTGATTGTGTTTGTGGGTTTGTATTCCTTTTGCTGGACCTGGATGCTCTAGCTAGCTTTGAGATTTTGACCTACTGATTCCTTTGCACAGTAAGTCTTTGACAGTGCCTTTTTTGCATTTAACATATCGGCAGTTTTTCTTCTGTTTAATACTGTTCGTAACACCCTGGCTTGTGTGAAATTCCATTGAAGCCATGGAGATAATGCTGTATTATTAGTGCATCATGTCACCTCTTCCCGCTGAACATCATTTAAAGTCCTTCCTGGGGGCTCTGCTGTAGTCTGTGTGGCATGTGGCAGAAGGAATTCTTTGAGACGTCAGGAGCTGATTTTTTCCTCAAGCTAAAAAACAACAGAAAGGAAGATGATGGAAATCACCACAGAAAGAAAACCGAGTTCTGGGAAAGGGATTAGCTTCCCTTCTTCTTCAGAAAAAAAAAAAAAAATACTAGGGAACATTTCCAATTAAAATAAAAAGTATTTCTGCCTCAGGGAACAATTATTGTAGTTAAATGTCAGAGAGTGGAAACCTTCTCTATTCCTTTCTGTTCTTGGAGCTTTCCTGGGCTTCATATACAGTAGCATTACCCCGTATTGTTGGGATTCATAAGAAAATGTACTGCTAACCTCCATAGCACCTTTGTAAATGAAGGTCATATACTCACTTGAGACTGTCAAACTCAATATTTTTTATTTAAACCATATGTCTTATGACGCAAGAGCTAGCGTGTGAGCCTCTTGCCCTAGTTAACCCAAATTACACTTTGCTGTGTTTATGAAGTCTTAAATTTTTTGCTTGTCTTAAAGTTGACTTCAGCTTGTTTCATTACCTAGTTTTCCAGAAGATCTTTTTCATTTTATAAATATGAACTTTTCAATTATGTTTTATTAAATGTAATAGTTTATTTTGGTTTTGTGAGACGTTAATGCTGATAGTTGTCTACAGCTGCTGTAGGGAA